TAGTCGGATGCAGTTTGGGTTTGGGTGTCATATTTTTGGTTCAATTCGGGTTCAAGTCGTTCTCATGTCGAGTGCAGGTCGAGTTCAGATCCACAATTTTCAGGTCAAACTCAGATTTAGGTAAATATCAGTTTCGAATCGAGTCGATTTCGGATCGTCACAACGCATATAAAAAATAATTTTAATTCAAATAAATTTCTGTAAGTTTTACAGGTCGTATCTTCATTTTACACCTCTAAATCCTCAACTAATTTTTGTTAGTTGGACAACGAATCAAGTACCTAACACAATTATCATATTGTCAGTGATGAACCAAATAGGTCAGAGAAGGTCTTGTCCTTTCAAAATTTTAAAAAAAATTGTATTTCATCTCTCTCATTTTTTTTAAATTATTAATTTATGAAATTTTTAAAATTCTCAGTATTTTTTTCTAAACAATTTAATATATTTAAATTTTTTAAAATTATTTTATTAGGATCTACTCCTACAAATTATGATAAGTTCTACTATAATCAATGCATGAATGTATTGCATCATCAAATTATCAATCGATCTAACTAAATAGTAATGTTGAAAAAAATCAAATTCAGTAGTTAAATTATGGAATCTTTGACCCTCTCTGAGATTCCCTCCGAAACTATAGGAAACCCTATTGGTAATGCTACAATTGTTCCGTCTGGTCGGTCGCCGGATGGTCTGAACCTTATCACCATAGCGACTACCCTAGAACGGTGGGGACATGCGATCCCAGAGGAAGACTTGTCGGCCGATAAAAAAGAAAGGAATCATGAGAACTCGACCATGGTTGTGGAGAAGAATTCGATTGTTCTGCATGTACAAGATACAAATGAGGTCATGAGGGATATGCCAGAAGAGGATGCCTCTCAAAATACGAGCAAGGTATCGTTTAGGGATATGGTCGTTGGTCAAGGTGGAGCGAAACAAAAGGTAAACCCTGTATCAGAGTTAGATGTTGAATTGCTTCTAGAGGATATTAGAATTGATATGGAAGGAGTTGTGTCGGGCATTCATTTTTCAGAGCGGGTACATCGATCCATAGACGAAAAGCTATCAAAGTATGTGATCGTGCGGCTCTTAGGAAGGTCGATTGGCTATAGAGCGCTGCTAAACCGTATACAATTATTATGGAGGTCGTCTGGTGAGTTACACGTTGCAGACCTGGACAATGAGTATTTTCTTGTTCGCTTTGCTTTGGATGAAGATTACCATAGGGTCATACTGGTGGCCCTTGGATGATTTATGGGTGCTATCTCACGGTTCAACCCTGTTCGTTGAGCTTATCAACTTCGGAGGATCACTCGAAAATGATATTGGTTTGGGTGCGGCTCCCAGGATTACCATACTGATATTATACAAAAAGTTTATTTCGAACGATTTCTGGTGCGTTAGGTGCAGTAGTGAAAGTTGATTATAATACTACGGAGGGTAAACAAGGAAGGTTTGCTAGACTAGCGATTGTTGCTAACTTGGATAATCCTTTGATCCCAGGCATGATGATAGATGGAAGATACTTGAGCGTTTAGTATGAGGGGCTACCGACTACATGTTATTTATGTGGGAAGTATGGACATCCGAGGGGTGCTTTCTGAAAAGAAAATACTGGTGCACAGGCTGAAAATAACCAGGAAACAATGAAGAGAATGGCCCCGAATGATCCCTACGGACCATGGATGCAAGTGGTTAACAAACGAAAGAAGGCAATATTGAACAAGAATGTGGTTAATTGTGAATGAGGGTCGGCTGGGAACAATAATAATCATAACGGGTCACGTTTTTGACGCGTTAGTAGCAACAGATGTGGTAGATAAACATGCTACGAAGGAACACAATACAGTAGATAAAAGACATGGAGTGCGGGAGGAAGAAGGGCAGTTGGAAGGGGGAAAGGATAGACCTATGGATCCTTCTAGCAGTAGAACAATACCTCAAGTCAAAGCTGTCGAACCAGCTACAAAGCCAAGGAGGATTGCTAAAGCAACCAAGAAGAAACAGGAAGCAAATAAAGAATTAGTTATGATTGCGGCGAGGGAGAAAATGGTGAAAATTCAATTTGATTCTTGTTGGGAAAATAGACCCCTTGTAATCCAACAATCCCTTTAGATCACAACATTAACAAAAATACTTGAAAAATAAAAAAGAGAAAAACACAATAATTTAACATGGAAAACTCCCAAATGGAGAAAAACCACAAACGTTGTCAAAAGACAACCAAGAAAAAAAATATTTACTATGTGGAAAATTATTACAACCACACTACAAAATATTTAACTCTCACACATGCCCAAAAGCTAAAGTACACCCCAAGAGAATTTCCCTTTAAATTCTCTACTAGTATAGCTAATAGCTTTCTAGTACACCACTTGTATTTTGGTGATTGACATACATTTAATCAAAGGGAAATGTTCTATTTATAGGCTAAGAATTTTCCATCCTTTGTTCATTTCCAATGTGGGATTTGGCCAATTTTTGCCAAAAACTAACAAATCTCCACCTTGGCAAAAATTCCATACAATTCTTCACCATAAAAACAACAGCTACCTCAATAACACCATCAGCTATGATAGTCACAATTCTAAAAACAAGAATTGTCATACTCCACCATAAGAGTATACACACTTGGAATTCACTAACTCCAAGAATTTTTACCTCGACCAGTTCATGTCGAAAAACTGCTAATAAGTTATGGTGCAACTTCCAATATTGACTTTCTAGGAAGTTCATTAGCCATCGACATCAATTTCACCACACACCTTGCATCAACTGTCAACCAATGCCCATGTGTAAATGTGGACATGCTACCTTTTCATACATCCTTTTCTATGGCAACTCAATTGGTAGCTATCATGCCATGAGGATATATATCTTACTTTAAAAAATAAATTCATCGTCTTCATTTTCAAAGACGACTACATTAGTAGCATCACTTTTGGAGCCATTAGCCGAATTAGCTCCACCGTTTTTGCAATCCTTCTTTAGATGTCCAGGTTGCCCACATCCCTAGCAGATAATTTTCTTTTTGGAGCCTTTATACTTCTTCCTATTTCCACAAACCGACAATGCTCCACTTTCAGAAGATTTGTTCTCTCCATTTTTCAGCCTTCTTTTATCCGAAATCAGCTTACTTGTCACTTCTGAAAAATTCACATTCTCTTTCCCGTACATTAAAACAGTTTGCATGTGCTCATAGGAAGATGGAAGAGACCAAATAAGTCTCAATGCTTTATCTTCATCATCAATCTCCACTCCAATAGAGTCCAGTTCAGAAACAATCCCATTGAGTGCACTAAGGTGGTCAGAAATTTTTGTACCTTCTTCCATTTGCAATTTGTGAAATTTCTCCTTCAAATATAACCTATTTGAAAGACTTTTAGCTTGGTACATTTCCTCAAGCTTTTCCCAAAGCTCCTTTGTTGATGACCATCTAGCAACATTAGCAAGAACATTTTTTGCTAGACAGAGACGAATCTGACTTGCTACTCTCATGTCTAACTCCTCCCATTCTTCTTCACTCATCTTGGATTTTCCCTTGTCTCCACTGCTGTCACTAGGTTTATCTGGTTCCTTTCCTTCGGACAAAGAAGCTGGCTTTCCCTTTAAGGCCTTATACAATCCAGACTGGATTAGTATATCCTTGACTTGTACTTGCCACAACCCAAAATTAATTCTCCCATCAAATTTCTCAATATCAAATCTGAAACTCATTTTTGCTCAACAATGCTCCAGTGATCTCACACGTGAATAATGAGTGAACAATTGTGTCTACAAAATGCACTAAGAAAGTTTCCAGGAAAGATTGGGGGGACACAAATGGTACCTCTTAAGTCTCAACCTCCTTAGGCGATTATAGCCTTTGTGACAAAACTTTCTTGGTTGCACTTACTTACACAATATCACACTCAATAAACATAATAACGTATTTAAAGGACCTCCAGTTGGACCACAACAATTTCTAAAAAATCTTTTCTGATGTAGAAGATCGGACAAAACCACAACCACAGAGCATACTAAGAATTTTAAAGAAATTCTTACCCCGCCTTAAAATTTATCTTTTACCAAACCATTGACTCCGATACCAATTGTTGGGAAAATAGACCCCTTGTAATCCAACAATCCCTTTAGATCACAACATTAACAAAAAATACTTGAAAAATAAAAAAGAGAAAAACACAATAATTTAACATGGAAAACTCCCAAATGGAAAAAAACCACAAACGTTGTCAAAAGACAACCAAGAAAAAAAATATTTACTATGTGGAAAATTATTACAACCACACTATAAAATATTTAACTCTCACACATGCCCAAAAACTAAAGTACACCCCAAGAGAATTTCCCTTTAAATTCTCTACTAGTATAGCTAATAGCTTTCTAGTACACCACTTGTATTTTGGTGATTGACATACATTTAACCAAAGGCAAATGTTCTATTTATAGGCTAAGAATTTTTCCATCCTTTGTTCATTTCCAATGTGGGATTTGGCCAATTTTTGCCAAAAACTAACAATTCTAACGTGGGAAATCACACAGCGATCCACATTATGGATGAGAGTCGTGGGGGTGCGTTGCGTGAGAAAAATGGTAGGAATACACCAAAAGCTAGCCACATACAACTTAAAAATTGGCATCAAGAATATGACATTGGCTAAAGGTTTAAAAAAAAGGGTTAAAACTAAGAAGAAAGAATAACAAGGACCGACTAAGCCGATCCTAAGACTGGTTGCTAGCATGACTAAGGAGCTCGACCAAACCATGCCGAAGCACGTACAAGAGATTCTGATTTGAGGAAATTAGGTAGTGATAACTGATAATTCTATAACTGTACAATGGAGGGAAAACACTACCTTCGAGGGTGAATGAAGCGTTGTTCAACAGTTCTGATCCTGGTTCATTAGTTTTATTGCTTTCTTATGGTTAAGATTATTTTTTGGAATACCCAAGGAGTTCTTAGTCTTGTGTTTAACCGTTATTTCAAAATGTTAATGAGAAATAAGAAACTAGATATTGTTGCTCTTCTTGAACCGAAAGTAAGTGGTTCTAAGGCGGAGAAGTTCAACCAAAAATCTGGGTTCGGTCACTCTTTTAGAATCGAAGCAAATGAGTTTTCGGGAGGCATTTGGATTCTATGGAATGATACAATTTCAATGGATTTCTTGGTGGCTTCGAATCAATATGTCCATGGTTATTGTATTGACAAGTTAATTTCAACAAGCTTCTTTGTTTCTTTTGTTTATGCGAGCCCAAATGGCAGTATGCGGAATTTGGTTTGGAATCAAATTAGAGCTCTTGCACCGAATGAAAACTCTCCTTGGTTGCTTGGAGGAGATTTCAATGCTATTTGTAAATCTGTCGAGCGAAAGGGTGGATCGCACAGTAGAACGGGAATTTGTCTGAATTTTGGCGAGTTTATATTCGAAGCAGGTTTACTGTATATAGGGTTTAATGGTCCTCAATATACTTGGCTGCGGGGTAACCTTAGTCAGAGGCTTGATCGTTGCTTGTGTAATAACAGGTGGTATAGCGCGTTCCCTGCCTCTGAAGTCTTGCGTTTGCAGAAGATGGGACCCGATCATAGGCTGATTCTAATGTCAATCGAGGTTCCAGAGGTACAGCATTATAACCGTCCTTTTCGTTTTGTGGCAGGTTGGAATGAGCATTAGGATTTTGAAAATTTTCTGACCAACTCGTGGAATAAGAATAATCCTTTGTTTAATAGCCTCATAAATCTTCAAAGTAAATGTTGCAACTGGAACAATGAGGTATTTGGTCATATCGGCAGACGTAAGACTCTGTTACTGGCTAGAATTCGAGGGGTTGAAATCGCCCTGGAGCGGAGTGAATCCACATATCTTTTGGACCTCTACGAGGCTCTTAAGAATGAAATTAATGTGGTCCTTGAACAAGAAGAAAGCCTATGGCATCAAAGTCTAGAAGTCAGTGGATTACGAAAGGAGATCGCAACACAATATTTCCATGCTACTACTATTAATAGAAGGAGGCAAAATAGCATTCGTATGCTTCAGATGGAGGATGGTCGATGGTGTGATGATCATGAAGTGCTGTGAAACCACGTAGTGAATTTCTTTCGTAAGCTATTCACCTCTGAACCTCGACAAAATGCAACAAGAAAGTTTAGGGGGGTTTCAAGTTGTTTGATATGACTCACTTAAATGTGCTAACCAACCCAATAATCTGGAAGAAATGCGTCAGACTCTTTTTATGATGGATCCGTTGAAAGCTCCACGTGTGGATGGCTACAAAGCGGGTTTCTTCTAGAAAAAACTGGAGTATTCTGGCGGATGATGTTGTTCGATTTGTTCAAGAATTTTTTGAGAGTGGAGTCTTATTAGATGAGATTAATAGAAATCTTCTGGTCCTTTTCCTTAAAGTTGAGATTCCAGAGAAGATTTCACAATTTCGTTCGATCAGCTTATGCATGGTACCATATAAGGTTATTACAAAGCTTATAGTAAACCGTCTGAAACCTCTGCTGCCAAATTGGGTCTCTGAAAACCAGTCCAGTTTTGTCTCGGGAAGGAATATCACTGATAATATTATCCTTGCCCAAGAAGTGATTCACTCTATGAATAGTAAAACGAGTAAGACAACTTGGATGGCAATTAGAGTAGACGTTGAAAAAGCCTATGACATATTCGAGTGGACTTTCATGGAGGAGACTCTTATGGAAACACCTGTTGGATATATGAACTGCAAAACTACACCGTTAGTACTGACTGGAAATATAAACAGTAATTAAAAGGAATAAATTCGTAAACCGTGTCGTGGCAAAAACCACTGTCTTAGAAACGAATTAGCCCCAATGTGTGTAATCGCTGCAGTAGGTGGACCGTTCCCCGAGGTTAACACGGTCGCTCCGAATTCCGTACACTCGAAACCGGAGTGGACTGCTGGTGGTATTGCTCTTTTGATTGGAAAGCACTCAGAGAGAACTCACAGAGAGAACTGTATAAAACACTTTTGTAAGTGAATTGTGAATGTTTGAGAGTGAGATGAGAAGCTAAATATAGCTCTCTATTTATAGGCTAGAAATAGGGTTAATATCGTCCATAAAATTTCAGGATTAAATATCTTCTTTTGTAACAGCTGAAACGTCTAGATGAACCTGACTCAAAAATAGTCCAAGTTCATTACATCATTATTCAGCTGTTATAACTCCTGAAATTATATCATGTAACCCTTGGAATTAAATTAAATAACTCTTGTAACTTCTGATATTAACAACTTGTCTCCTCTGTACAAAGCTGGAAATCAGTCCAGATACATCTTAACGTTTTTTATTTAATTTAGGAAAAAACTGTTTAATTTCTGATAACTCATAAATCAACTGTTATCATTTGAAATTTAAACGGTCCTCAACAGCCTATAAATATCAGTTGAAATCTTTCACATTTTCCATTTGTTTCTTTCAAAGAGAAATTCCTCAAGAATTTTCTCTAAAAAGATAGTATCTGCGCGAACGTGTCGAAGACACGTATTACCACGACCACGAGCCGAGACGGGCGGCGGCGGTGGCGGTGCGCGAGAGTCCCCCTTGTTCTCTATCACTCAACAAGGAAGTGGGAAAGCCAAGCCTTAAATACCATTACCAATAGTGTTTCCAATAATATGTGGGATTGAGCATTACCAACGTTCCCCCACTAATGCGAAAGAAATCTTCTGAAACTCTAAAACAAACTTTCCAGAAGAGCAATAGCGAGATTAGTTGCTTAAGCACTAGTGAACGTATCTGGAACTAGTACATAATAATGATGAGCAATCCTTCTCTTAGATAAGTGAAACTAGTCTGGAACTTTCTAAGATCAGGGTAAACTCATAACACACAACTAACCCCTTCATCCACTTGAGTCCTCGATGTGTAAGATATATATATATATACAAAGTATATATTTGGCCATCTTACCTCAGGATTCTAGTAAGTGTGCTAGAAAAATGGCCCAACATTTTTCATAGAAGGCGGCTAACCCTTCTCACTTACATAAGTTATTTCATCAAGTTTATCTCAACATAAACCACCCTTTAAAAAGGGATATAAAATAATTAAGAGCTTATAATAGCTCAACCTCATAAAGGGTATGGTGACTTTCTTCAAGTTCATTATTAATGAACCACCCAAACTCTAGGCTAAGAAGTCATTAAGAATAAATATTCAACCTCATTTATTGGTAAATTCAATAATTCATTCTCACTAGAACTATCCAAATACTTGGATTTGAATTTATTAAGAGTTTAACAAACTCAACCTTTCTGTAGGTAAGTTCATCATTTCCTACCCACTCAATCTGGGTTATGAACTTATTAAGAATAGATATTCAGCCAAAATCGGTAAATTCATCAAGTCTTTCTCACTAAGACCACCCAAAGCCCGGGCTATGAATTTATTAAGAATAATTAAGCTCATCCTGGGCATGCACATTATTCATCATAGGGATAGGCAGTAGGAATGTGCACTATGAGTCTTTCCATGGTTTCGTTTGACCACATGGAACTTAGATAACTAAGTTGGGTATCCACCATGAATTCCTCAATCAATGGGCTTTAGACCCATCCCCCTCGACGAATCTAGGACCAGCTTCCGACTTAACCCTTTGGTAAGTGGATCTGCTAGGTTCCTTTCCGACTTCACATACTCTAAAGAGAGCACTCCATTCTTTATTAAATGTCTAACAGATTCATGTCTTATGCGAATGTGTCTTTTCTTACCATTGTAAGCTTGGTTCTTAGCCACACATATCGCAGCTTGTGAATCACACAATAATGAAACTGGAGGAGTCGGTCTTCCCCACAACGGAATATCTGCTAACAAGCTTTTGAGCCACTCGGCTTCTTGCCTAGCTAGATCAAGAGCTATAAACTCTGACTCCATAGTAGAACGAGCAATACAAGTCTGCTTTGATGATTTCCACGAGATTGCTGCTCCACCCAAAGTAAAAACATACCCGCTCGTAGAGTTTACCTCATCATTATCAGAAATCCAGTTGGTATCACAATATCCTTCCAGTACCGCAGGAAAGCCAACAAACTCAAGTTTCCAATCCAAAGTACCCTTAAGATACTTCAGTAAGCGTTTAAGAGCAATCCAGTGCTCACCACTCGGATTATGAGTATATCTACTCAGTCTACTCATAGCATAAGCAATATCAGGCTGAGTATAGTTCATTAAGAACATTAAGCTTTCGATTAACTTAGCATATTCAGTTTGGGAAACACTACTTCCTTTATTCTTAACTAGATGTATGCTAGGGTCATAAGGAGTTCGAACAGGGACGACATCAAAATTGTCAAATTTCTTTAGCACTTTCTCTATATAATGTGCTTGACATAAAGAAAATCCCTTCTCAGTTTTGGTAACTTTGACTCCTAAGATTATATCTACTTATCCCAAATTTGTCATCTCAAACTTAGTGGACAAGAAATTTTTAACTTTGTTAATGGACTCAATGTTAGAACTGAAAAATGAACATGTCATCAACATAAAGACTTATGATAACACATTCAGTTTCAAACATCTTCGAATACACACAAGCATCCGAACCATTCACAACAAAACCAAAACTAAGAATAGTTTTATTTCTCAAACCACTGTTTAGGAGCCTGCTTAAGTCCATAGAGTGACTTTTTGAGTCTACAGACTTTGCCTTCCATACCAGGTACTTCAAAACCTAGTGGTTGCTCCATGTAAATCTCCTCATCTAGATCTCCATTCAAGAAAGCAGTCTTAACATCCATTTGATGTACCTGCAACTTATGAATAGAGGCTAGTGCAAATAATGCACGAATCGTTGAGATTTTTGTAACGGGAGAATATGTATCAAAGTAGTCTAAACCAAACCTTTGAGTGAACCCTTTGACGACTAACCTTGCCTTGTATCGCTGAATCGAACCATCTGGCCTTAGTTTATTCCGGAAGACCCATTTGTTGGAGATTGGTTTGAATCCCTTAGGCAAGTCAACTAATTCTCAAGTATGATTAGACATTATCGATTCTAGTTCATCACTAACAGCGCTTTTCCAAAAACTAGCATCGATAGATCTTATAGCTTCTTCAAAATTTTTAGGATCCTCATCTAACAGAAAAATTTGAGCTATAGGATCTGAAATGGAGTCTAAATCATTTATCTCAGAAATAAAGGAAGTAATAAAGTCTGGTCTAAAAGAGGTTTCAACTCTTTGCCTTTTACTTCTTCTAGGCTCGAAATCAATTTGTTCAGAAGACCTAGCAGGATTACTAGAAGAAGTGGATGGAATATATTCTATTTGTGTTTCAATATTCATTCTCGGTTCCTTTAAAGGAAAATTATTTTCAAAGAAAACAGCATCCCTTGACTCACAAATAGAATAATCTTATAAAAGCATGAATCTGTATGCAGCACTATTCATAGCATACCCTATAAACACTGCATCAACAGTTTTAGGTCCGATGGTGGACTTCTTAAAGTCTGGCAAACCCACTTTGGCCAGACACCCCCACACTTTCAGGTATTGTAAATCAGGAGCGTATCCTTTCCACAAATCATATGGGGTAGAATCTAATTTCTTATGAGGAACTCGGTTCAAGATATGAGTTGCGGATAGAATGGCTTCCCCTTTCATGTTATCAAATAACCCTGAACTTATTAGTAAAGAATTCATCATCTCTTTTAAAGTTCTATTTTTCCTTTCGGCTATACCATTCTGTTGAGGAAAATAGGGAGCTGAAGTTTCATGAATTATGCCATTCTTTTCACAAATATATTTTAAGAAATTAGATCCATATTCACCACCTCTATCAGATCTAACCCGTTTGATTCTCCTATCTAACTGATTTTCTACTTCTGCCTTATAAATAAGAAAGAAGTTTTCAGCTTCATCTTTAGTTCTTAGGAGATAAACTTTTGTATATTTTGAATAATCATCTACAAAAATTATGTAGTAGTGTTTTCCTCCTTTACTTTCAGTGTTTCTAAAATCTGCTAGATCAGTATGAATGAGTTCTAACAGTTCAGTCTTTCTATTAGAAACAGTCTTAAAGTGAGGTTTAGTATGCTTAGCTTCTACACAAATCTCA